CCAGACCCTCTCCACCCACAACCTCAGAGGATCCCTGTCTCCTCCTCTGTAAACTGAGGCCACTCTAGGCAGTGGGTTGCAAACTTCCTATTTGAAATCCCTGTGAAAATCTGATCAAGGTAATGGATTCCCTACCTAGACAAACTCATGAGTTTTTAGACACATGCTGTCATTCCTTCTCACAGTTGCAGGAGGGTTATGAACTCCAGAAACCTGCCCCTGGCCCCTGGGTTAAAACCACCTGACCTTCTGGGCAGTCTTCCTTCTGCATGGCCTTGGTGCATTTCAATTTCTTCTGAAAATAATTGTGGACTTAAAGACATTGCAGGAATGAGTACAGTCCCCCACCCAGGCCTCTCCCAGGACTGACATTGCACAAATCCAGCTACATCCGTCAAAACTAAGTTATCCGGGCTCTTGTCCTTTGTGCCCTGGAGGCTGGGAGAAGCCTGCTCAGGTCTCTAGGTTTGTCTGGTGTTCCCCTACACTGCATGAATGTTACGCATCTTTGGTGAGAAAACTTGGCAAAGAGGTGTCCTCAGAGCACCTCTTGGGAAGGGAAGTGTGTGGAGTCTTTCTGTCTGTTGCATTGCTGCTGAGGGCCACCTCAGTCTCCCTGGTCAGGGGGGCCAGCCAGTTTTTCTAGTGCTGGATCAGTATCTCCGGGAACCGCTCAGGCCCATGCCTTCACTTTTAAAATGAACTTTCTTTGCCAGAACAAACTGAACCACGTTTTTTCTGAAACATGAAGCAAAGGCTTCTTTTCTCCACAAACAAATTGAAGGGTGCCCCAGGATGTCCTCGGCCAGTGGGGACTTTACCTGAAGACGCCCGTTTTCATCTGGCAGAAGGGGAAATTAAGGCCCACGGTGGGGAGAGGTCATGTGGGGGGTTTGCACAACTAGCTGATCACAGAGCTGGACAGGAATGAGTTCAAGGGGGAGCCCCACAACACCCCCATCCCACATACCCTTCTCCTCAAGTGTGTCTGGTAGCCTTGGGCTGTTTGCCCAAATTTCCAAGCCCTTGTTGAGGGAGGGACCAAGCCCCCTTCCCTTATCTCCAGAGGAGCAGGTTGTGGGAAGGGGCTGGCAGAGGGGCAGAGACAGAGGCAAAACCAGGCTCCCTCTGCAGGAACCCACCCTGGGACCCCTGGACTGGAAGGCAGGCTCTGCCAGGACTGGGGGAGGGTATCCAGCCCTTAGACATCCTTGAGAAGGGCCCCAGGGGCCCCAGGAAGCTGAGAATGGAAGAGTGCAGTGGGCGGTGGGGGTGAGGGGGCGCTATGTGCAGAAGGTCCCTGAGTGCTGGGACATGTGCCCTGAGCTGTCCTGGGTGGGGTGGCCAAGAAAGCTGGCCCCTGAGGAGCCTGCAGGGCACCCCAACGACAGTCCCTAATCCAGGCTACATGGTGGGAGAGAAGGCACCAGACCTGGCCCTGGAGAGGCAAGAAAGTGAGGAATTGAGACCCAGGGCCTGAGGAATGGGGAGGAGGCAGCCCAAGTCCTTGAGAACACAAAAGTAGGGCGGGAGCTCAGCAGAGTGGAGGGACAGGATGGGAAAGGATCTGTGTTCAGTGCACACTGGCATTTATTCACTGAGGTGCCTTGGGGCAGCAGAAGGCACACAGGCTGACCTGATGGATTGTATTATGTAAGAAAAACAGGGCGGAGGCTTCATGAGTCTTGGTGAGGCAACTGCCTGGCTGGTATTGGAGAAAGGGGGCGGTGAGGGGGACTGCCCTGGATCCATTCAAGGGTAAGCTGAGCAGGGAGGGGCAGAGAGTTGGGCTCCATGAAGTGGGCCTGCCCCAGTGGGCTCAGCCCCTCCCGAACATCCTGCCCCAGCCCAGGGCCCCTGTTCTCTACTCAGACCAGGCCCTTGCTCCCCAGCAATCATCTATGGGACCACTTGGTGCTCTGGGTTGGAAACAAACAGTTAGCAGGACATAGTCCCCACCTCTTGGGGCTTTCAGACCAAGTAGGTAAAGGAGGGAGCTCCCTTGGTGCCTGGGAGCTGGAGGGCTGCCGGGGCCAGGAGTGGACCACGCCTGGACTGCATGGCTGCAGGACCCTGTCTTGTGCCCTGAAGATGGGGGGTGAGGTGGGGGCACAGCAGATGCTGCATGAACAGAGGAACAGCTGGAAAGAACCTGAGGGAAGGACAGTAGCTGAGTGTGGCTGGAGGCCATGTAGTGGCCAACAGGACCGGGAAGACAGCACTCAGGGAGGAGTTGGCCTGTGTGCCAGTCAAGAAAGGACATAGCGTCAAGAACTCAAGAAGGGACCAGGCAAGGCCAGCTGGGCATTGGACAAAGCACTGCGCCAGTGGCCTGCGTGTGTGTGCATGTACATGTGCATGTGTGTTTGTGTGTCTGTGTGTGCTTGCATGTCTCTGTGTGATACACACATATGGATGAGGGAAGAAGCTGGAGGCTGGGGTGCAGGTCCCAACCCAGAGCCCCTTCTAGTCCCTGTGGGAGATGGTTAAGGCTGGACTCACCAGGAAGGGCTGGGTGGGCAGAATGGGCCTGCCCCGAGGGAGGACAGAGCAGCCTGCAGTCTGGGGTAGTCCCAAGCTGGCGGTGGGTGGCCTTCTGGATTTGTGGCTGGGTGCGGCCCAGAGTTTCCAGAAAGCAGAGAGAGTGCAGGCCTGCTCTGATCAGAGCTCAGGCAGGACACGCAGTGGCCAGGGCCTACACAGGGCTGTCAGGAAGTGCTGGTAAATCCACAGAAAGCATCTCCTAAAGCAGGTGTGCTTGCTGCCAGATGGGGCCAGATGGCCAGCGGGAGGCCTGTGCAGAGGGCACTTCCTCCAAAATATTCTGTCTGTGTGTTCTGGGTATCAGAGAAAATGTACGTTTTTCAGTGACAGGTGTGTGTGGATATGAACAAAGCTGGGTGGGTGAGTGTGAGGGTGTGCATACATGGGCCTTGAGGCAAACATCTCAGGTACAAACCTAGGAGCAGCCTGAAACCTCTGCTCACTTCCCAGGGTGGAGCCCATCTGCCTGTCCCCCTCCCAGGACAAAAGGCCCCTGGGCATTGAAGTGGGGTGAGGAAGCAGCAGCACACCCCCCCCCAATACTCTCCCATGGCCATAGGGAGCCCAGCAGGGTTCAGGCCTGCCTAGGGGGGTGAGGCACCTAGAAGAGCTCCAGGGGAACACAACAGGGCACTCCCCCAGCGCCCTGGTCAGTCCTGTTCCCACTTGTCCCCTGCTCCCTCCTCCCTCCTGCCAACCCAAGACCTAAGAAGAGACAGGGGCCATAACCAGGAAAGGTGGAGTGCAGGACCCACAGAGACACCTAAGGGCACACCGGACACCAGAACTAAGCCAGGGTTCAGCCCAGGCCTGCTGGGCTCATTTTTAAATTCTTGTTAGTAGCAGGTAAGGTCCATGAGGCTATCCTTTTGTTTCTCCAGCATAGCTTGGCGAACAGCAGGCACCCCATACACCCGTGTGGAAAGCTGAGCTGAGTAGGGACCATTTGATCAATTCACACAGGACCCAGGGCAGCCCCAGGACCCTGTTCTGCACCCAGAGCTATCTAAATGTTTGCACACACCCAACAAGTGATGCATTCATCCCAGCAGCCAAAGCTGGGCTTGGAGTCTGGATCTGCAAGGCCAGATGGCCCTCACATGCCTGGTGCTTCCTTCTGGTCCTGCCAGCCTAGCAGAATCCCCCTGCCCCCTGTTTTACCTCCATCTGCTTCCTGCCTATCCTCCTGGACCAACCGTCCCAGGCTTCTGTCTACCAATGTCAGGCTAAGCCTCCCCTGACCCAGCACAGTCCAGGTGGACCTCCCTGGATGCCCACACATACCTTTGTGTGTTCCTGTTGCCTCACATGCTTCTTCTTTCCTAGCTTCAACCCTCCTCCACTGCCCTTCTGCAAAAACAATGCTACTTCCTCTGTCTCGGTTTCTCCATGTGTAGAAGCAGGAGGTTGCATGTAGGCAGTCCTAGTACCAGCTAGTGGATTAACAGGGGCCCAGAGGCCACCTCCTGGCAGGCTTCAGCATCCCCAGGCCTGGGCATGTGAAGCCAGCACAGGGTGAGGTGTGTACTGGGGCCAGTGGTCCAGGGTGGACAAAGGGAAAAATGTGTACAGGTAGCAGCACGTGGGCCAAGAGCAACACTGTAGATGGGGGTCAGGCTTCTGGAAGCTCTGACTGCGAAGTCTGGGCAAGGGGACTGCACCCTGGCCATTGAGATGACTTTTGTCAGTCAGCATGATTATTTTGAGAAGTGTCATATTTTTTCCAATTAATTCTAAATAGAATCCCAGTTTATGGAAATGCCACAGTTTTTATAAGGATATAACTGACATATACATTTTATTAGTTTCAAGTGTGCAATATAATAATTCAATATGTGTATATATTGTGAAATGATCACCACAATAAGTGTAGTTAACATCCATCACCACGCATAGTTACTATTTGTGTGTGTGTGTGTGTGTGTGTGTGTGTGTGTGTGTGTGTGGTGATGACACTTAAGATCTACTCTCTCAGCTGCTTTCATATGTACAATATTGTTCACTCTCTCGTACATTACATCCCCAGAACTTATGCGTTATGCCAGTGTTTATCCATTCTCCTATTGATGGACATTCGAGAGCTGCAGGTTTGGGGCTGTTAAAGCGGCCCTGATATTTGCTTCCTGATTTTTGCGTGGACGCAGGCTTCCTGCGGGGGAAATACCTGGGAGGTAATGGCAGGGTCATGCGGTAACTATGTTTTTTAGAAGCTGCGCGAGTTTCCCTCCAGCCAGTAGTGTGCAAGGTTCTCGCCAGCACTCGCTGTGATCTGATTACAGCGGTCCCTGCGCTTCCCAACAACGAGTAAAGTCCAGCCCCGCTTCTTGGGCTCCTTCTTTGAGGAAGCTCTCCCTCCTCCTTGGATCCTCCGGGGAGACGCATCCCTCTCCCCCTAGCCCTGCCACCCCACCCCGCCGCGCCAGGGGGCCCTGCCCACCGGGTGCCTCTCTCCACAGCCACCCGGGAATCTGCCTTTGTGCACGCCATCGCTGCCGCTGGCGTGGCCTTCGCGGTGACGCGCTCCTGCGCGGAGGGCTCCGCCACCATCTGCGGCTGCAGCAGCCGCCACCAGAGCTCACCGGGAGACGGCTGGAAGTGGGGCGGCTGCAGCGAGGACATCGAGTTCGGCGGGATGGTGTCTCGGGAGTTCGCGGATGCACGGGAGAACAGGCCTGACGCCCGCTCTGCAATGAACCGCCATAACAACGAGGCGGGGCGCCAGGTACGTCCGCGGCCCCGTGTGTCCTGGGGAATGTACCCAATGTCCCTCCAACCATGGCCCTGCCTGTCCTAGGGGTGCTTTGACTACAGCCCTTCGCATCCTGGGGTGTTGGGAGGCACTCTGACCACACCCCTTGGAGAGGAAATAGAAGTTTCCTGAACAGTTGGGTGCTCTGGTCCCTTAAGTGATGTGGCCTGATGGGGGCAGGATGGCCGGCTGTCTGTGGTAGCCAAGCTGGGGGTCTGCTCACCTACCCAGGGCTCTCTGAAACACAACACTGTCCAGTTGCTTCGACAATGTCTAGGATATTCCCACAGAGTGCCAGGTCCACTTCTGGAGTTGGGGTCACCGGGAAGGGGAGACAGGATAAAGGCCCGCCTTGCAGGAGCTCCTGCAAGTACAGGAGGAGAGACTGCCAGGCGGCTACCGTGCAGCATGGGAAGTTCTGTGATGAGGAAATGCACAAACACGGTGACCCTGCACAGCGCAAGGCACAGACCCAGGCTAGAGTCTTCTCAAAAAAGACTTTCTGCTGGCAAGGATAGTGAGTGAGGACATGCAGAGTGATGGCAGTTGACTAGGTGGTGGAGGCCAGGGAAGATTCTGAGCTACCCAGAAGTGAGCCTACACATCAGTTAGTCTGGGTAGAGTATGGAAAACAGAGGAAGAAAGAGAATTTGGGGAGTGGAGAGGTTGCCAAGGACCAAGATGTGAAAGGCTTTGTGAGCCCTGCTAAAAAGGACTGGGTCAGAAGGTCAGTGGGGGACTGATGGAGGACTGGCTGCTGATGAGAAGTGACTAGTGTAGGGACCAAGGGGTGTCCAGTAGATTAAGCAACACAAAGATGGCACTGGCTTTGGCCAGTGGAACCAGGGGATTGCAGAGGGCTAAAGAGTGAACAGGGACATTCAACTTCTAAATGGGGACTAGGTGACTCAGACTCATCTTCCCGCTGAAGACAAATACAAATGCAGGATGGAATATAAAAAGCACCTTGTTGAAAGTATAGGATGCTCACCTGTATATAGTGATCCAGTTTATCACAGGGAAGAGAGTGCAGTGCAGAGGTGGAAATGGACTTTTCAATAAATAGTGCTCAGTCAATTGAATAACAATATGGAAAAAAATAACCTTGACCCTTACCTCACACCATATATAAAATCAATTACAAAGAAACCCAAATGAGAAAGGTAAAACCAAAAAAGTTTAGAAGAAAACATAGGAGAGCATCTTTGTGACCTTGAGGTAGACTAAGATTTCTTAAACAGGCTGAAGAAAAATGAAAGAAAAATATAATTATGTGGACTGTATTAAAATTAAGAATGTCTATTCATAAAAAGACCACTATGAAACTGAAAAGGCAGCCCACACAGAAGATGACAGATCTCCAAAAAAATATGAAAGCTATAATATCAAAAGAACTCCACAAATCAATAAGAGAAAGACAGATAACCCAATAGAAAAGTTGGCTAAAGAATGGAAAGTCTTTTCACAAAAGAACATATAGAAATGGCCAATAAATATAGAGAAAGGTGCACGATATCATTAGTCATCAAGGAAATGCAATCAGAATTGGTGCCCTGAGGAGGGGGAGGACAACAAGTGGAAGAGAGCATGATGGGAGTTTCTGAGGAGCTGGTGATTGTGAAATTTGTCATGTTTTGGCTTACGACATATATACATTTTCATATGTATATTACACTTCCATAAAATTATTTTTAAGTTTCAAATAACTAACCATAAAGTGAGGAATTAGCAGCCTTAGGTCCAGGAGAAGACAGGACTCTGAGCCTGGTACCCAGGGTAGCTTTTGTCTCGGGGTCATTTGCTGACGTGGAAGAAAGTGCATACACTGAGCTACACTTCTGGCGGCCTCACAGAGCTAAGGGGCCCACCAAGGGTAATCTTTCCTCAGTTTAGGCTGGGACCCTAAGGAGCAAAGGAAAACCAGAAGTAGACCAGCTCTTGTGCATATGTGCAGGCTAGAAAAATCAAGACCAGAGAATGGATTAAGATGATCTCAAATGCCAGTAATCTCACGCCCTGGAAAAAGCACACAAATTCTCTTTGGAGGATGATAACCTTAAGCTAGGCTGAAAATTGTTTCTACAAATAATTTTTCAAACACAATATCCAACACATAAGCAAAGATAACTTGTCACAAGAGCTGATGATGCAGTAAATGAGTGGTAATCAATGAAAACAGAAACAAGACTCCAAATACTGGAATGATTAGACACAGCTTATCAGAAAAAAATATGCTCACTTAAGTTCACACAGCTAAAATGCAAGTTTAAACATTTCAGCAGGGAACTGGAAACTATAAAAATAATATAACAAATTTGACAAAGAATCACATAGAAATTGTAGAAGTGAAGAACAAATGAAGACTTCCAGTTAAAGACAACAAAGCAACTACAAGCGTTTCCCTCTGCACCCTCCTAGACACCTGCTGAAATGACAATGAATAAATTTTAACATAAATAAATAGACTCTCAGGAACATGGAAAACCGAAGAGGTGACAATGGCAACACAATTTTGAAAGCTGAAAAGCATATAGAAAAATACCCAGTGTCTTAGTAGACCCAAGAAAGTTTATACCAGTAGACTTAAACCAGTAGAGGAGAAATCTGAGAACCAACCCAGGAATTACTAGTATTAGGTATCTTGAGAAGCAGAAGTAAATATGCAGCTGAAAACAGGATGATTGGTTGAAAGTCTATTTTAAAAGCACTATTTAATGCACCAGCTCTTCTATCCTACTCCTTGCCCTCAGTCAACACCCCTCCTTTCTCAGAAGTCTGCAGGCTTGTTCTCTAAAAAGAGTAAAATGGGGTGTCTGGACTGCGGGGCCCCATACACAGCTGAGGGTGAAGCTCCCCGAGTGAAAATAGTCTATGTACACATTTCTCTTCCTAATCTCCTAATACTACAGTGAAACTCAATCACCTTCCGGGGAGGAGAACGGAAGGTTCTCCCCCTGGAAATCAGGTGAAGCCAGGAGAAGAGACTTAAAGAAACTGACTTGGGGGTTCTCCAATGAAATAATGTGGCCAGGTCATTCTGGAACAAGAGCCCAAGTTGACGAATTCCACCCAGGCACAGGAGCTTCCAACGAGAATTTTAGTGTCCCACTTTTCAATATGAGCAGACAGCCAAGAACTGCCAGATACCCAAGGAAGCCTCCAGCAACCATAAAGATAAAGAGCAAAACAAAGAAACAAGATCCACACTTATGAGAAAGAGACAATAGAAAGAGTGCTAAAAATTTCAAAAAACTATTACTAGCCCCAGAGAGATAAGAGAACATACTAAATCCATAAAACTGGAACAGGATGTTAATTTAGAATAACATTCGGAGGGGGAAAAAAAGAGCTCTTAGCAGTTAGGAAATAGGACAGCCGAAACAAAACTCTCAGCAGAAACATTGGAAGATAGTTGAAACACCCTTCTACAAAGTAGAGGAAAAAAGACAAAGAGGCGAAAAATAGGAAAGAATAGAAAATATGGAGGCACTGTCCAAATGAGACACAAAGAAGAGGAAGTTGGCATAGAAAAAAGGCAGGAAGCTTCCAGGACTGGCGATCACAAGTTTCAGACTACACAAGCCCAGAGAGTGCCTGGCACAAGAACGGGAGACCCACATCAAGGTGATGGCACAGACATGCCCTCCAGGCATCCCAGGAGAAGGTCAGGTTCACGCAAGGTGTCAAGAGTGGAATGACATCAGAGATTCCGAGTATATGAATGCCGGAATGAAATGGAGTGATGCTTTCAGGAATTTTATACCCAGCTAAATCATCTTTTCAACTCTTCAAGTAGAAAAGATTTGTTTCCAGACATTTACATTTCATAAAATTTACTGGAAGGCCTCTCAAAAAGATGTCCCCAAGTTGATATCAATAGGACACTTGGTGTGTTTGAACATCTAGAAGAGGATATTTAGACAATTAAGGGAGAGCTTAAGACTGAATCCATGACATGAGTATTTAAAATCCCACAATAAAACATCTTGTAGGAAAGAAAGAGTAATTGTAACATATCACATGGCTCAACTGAGTATGACATTGACCAGTCCCGATACCATCAGCCCTAAATACTGATCCAACTGGAAGTATGCTCTAGTTCCTAGGGTAGGAAGAGGGAAGGGAAAGTGTGCATTGGCGGGGGGTGCTGAGAGAATGCCAAACATTGAGAAACCAAGAAGCAGCACACAAGCGTCAATTAGAGGTTCATGAGAGGCACATAGCACTACCTCGGGAGGTCAGGAAAAGCGCTAGTGAGAGTGGGTGGAGAACTCTGGTTTTTAACAGGTCTTAGGAAACATTGGGGTCTTTAGAGTAGGTGCAAATATATGTTTGATAAAGTAAGACTAAAACAAGAGACTGAGGAAGCAGAGATGGGAAGTGGGGGCTCCTCTTTGGCAAAGTTTGGCCACAAAAGAGAAGAGAATGAAGATTAGTCAGAAATGAACTGGGTGTGGGGTGCAACTCAAATGCCTGAGGAAAGGGCCAGTATGAGAAAGAAGAGTTGAAGAAACAGCAGGAAGAGGAGGGCAGGGTAGGGGCAGAGTCTGGATGCGGAGCTCACCTGAATGAAGTCTTAGTCCAACACTATCCAAAAGGAGTATAATGGGAGCCATATTTGAAAAGAAAACAGCTGACATTCACTTTAATACTAAATTTTATTTAACCCACTATATCCAACATATTGTCATTTCAATAATGCAACCGATATGACAATCATGCATAAGATATTCTTCTTGCATGAAGTCTGGAGACTTATTGTGACCCAGTGTGTGGTCTGCACTCATGGTATCTCTCAGTTTGGACCGGCCAGGGGTTTCTGGTGTCAGTGCCCACCATGGTGGACAGTGCAGTTTTAGGTCTGATTACATCACCCCACCTCCACCTTTTCTCAGAGAGGAGGAAAGAGAACCTGCGGTCCCTGCTGCCCACAGAGAGAAATACACACTCATTGGCCAAGCCTCACCTGCTGTCAGCCCTCAGGTCTCCAAGGCCCTCACAGCTTTGTCTCCTACACTGCTTCTCTCCTCCTCTTTGCACTCCCCTACGGTTCAAGAACCCAGTTTCCTGGGGCCTGAAGGTGCCCAGTGCAAGGCACCCCCATTACCTATGCTCAGGTAGCCCCCAGCCTTGCCAGCAGCCCACATATACCTCCTCGGGGCCTCTGTCTTGGGTTCTCCAGGTCTGAATTAGCGCCCTTCTTCCACATGCCTGCACTTACATCATCACAGGTTACAGCCCTTCACTCTGTCATACATGCTGAAGAATTAGACCCAGCGTTTAAAAGAGCAGGGAGGCTCCCAGGCCCGCCCCCAGGGATCTCAGGTTGGCTAGGGGAGGCACACTGAAGGGAGTGACACTGGAAGGGGATGGCGCTGTGGGACCCAGGGAGAGGGCACCTGCTCCACCTGTGAGTCCTAGATGCTTTATGGAGCAGGCAAGTGGGCTGGGTTTGCCAGGTGGGAGTGGGAGTGGGGACTGCAGGCCAGGAGCACAGTCCAGGGAAATGGCCTCCAACAGACGCACCGGGCTTAGGACGGGCCTGACGCTCTCTGCCCGCGATCCTGCAGGCCATCGCCAGCCACATGCACCTCAAGTGCAAGTGCCACGGGCTGTCGGGCAGCTGCGAGGTGAAGACTTGCTGGTGGTCGCAGCCCGACTTCCGCGCCATCGGCGACCTCCTCAAGGACAAGTACGACAGCGCCTCGGAAATGGTAGTGGAGAAGCACCGCGAGTCCCGCGGCTGGGTGGAGACGCTGCGGCCGCGCTACACCTACTTCAAGGTGCCCACGGAGCGCGACCTGGTCTACTACGAGGCCTCGCCCAACTTCTGCGAGCCCAACCCCGAGACCGGCTCATTCGGCACGCGCGACCGCACCTGCAACGTGAGCTCGCCGGGCATTGACGGCTGCGATTTGCTGTGCTGTGGCCGCGGCCACAACGCGCGCGCGGAGCGGCGCCGGGAGAAGTGCCACTGCGTCTTTCACTGGTGCTGCTACGTGAGCTGCCAGGAGTGCGCGCGCGTCTACGATGTGCACACCTGCAAGTAGTGGTGCGCGCCTGGCGCGGGAGGCGGGGCTCCTCCCTGGATGGGGGTGGGGAGGGGCGGTGAGGCTCCAGGGGTGAGGCTCAAGGGTGGGGGCGGGACCCTCTCTGGGGACGGGGCTCCCAGGCTAGAGACTCAGCCCGCCCGCCCCTCCAACCCAGCCCACCTATAAGGTTCCGTCCACTCCACCTCCCTGTGCAGAGCAGTTCACCTGGCAGAACAGCCGCCAAGAACATGTGGGATGGCATCCTATCCTTCCACCTCCTCCTCTGAAGTCTGGGGACAGCCCTCCAAGTCTGGCGCTCTGGAAAGTTTCAGGCTCCTGGAGGCCTGTAGCACTCCTTCCTCAGCCTGTCATCTGCCACTGCTTCTGACCAGGAGCCCTACCGAGGACCCACGCCCTTCAGAGCCCTAGGAACCAGCTGGGCCTGGGGGAAGGTGGGGCCTGGCTTCAGGACCCGAGCAGGAGGCTGGGCCCTGAGATCTGGCTCTGCCCTGGCTGCCAGGTGCAGGGCATCAGACAGCCAGGCACTATTCCCAGTGAGTGTTCCTGCTGTCGCCCAGGCCCTGCCCAGGCTCACTCTCGACCTGGTCAGCTGGCACGGCAGTGCCCTCTGCTTTGTGGCTGATGGAACATCCCACTGTGGGGTCCTTCCACCTCCTTCCCTCAGGTCTCCCACCTGCACCCCATCCCATCCACAAGAGAGGAGCGTAGCCTCCCTTCCTATCCTCCCTCTTGGCCTCCGCACCTCTCCCACCTCCCTTGTCCACAGCCCAGATCCCAAGTCTGCCCATGGCCACTGACCCACTTCGCCACAGCTCCATCATTCTGTCTTGGAGGCCCATTTGGGTGGGGTGGAATGGTTTGGGAGGTTTTGGTGGAAGGAGCCATGCCCATGTTGAAGACAAAGGACCCACAGCCCTCAGAGGAGTGATCTCCCCTCTTAGCCCTTATGGTTAAGACTGACCCCTGGGTCATCATGCCACAGCTATGGTGTGCCAGACTGCCACACTGGCCACCTGGAGCAGCTGGCTGGCTGCTTGGCCCTCTCACCTTCTGACTCATCCATCCAGCCCAGGAAAAAGAGGCCGCTGGACCCCTCAGCCACTGCCGACGCCAGGCCTCTCCTCACTCAGCCTCTGCCACTGTGAAACATCCCCCAGCCCGCAATCCCCAAGGGCCCACCCTCCGGGCAGGGGGAGGAAACAGGCAAGGCAGGGATGACCAGCATGCTGCCAGGACTTGACCTTCCTGTGCCTTGAATTTTACATTTTTGGTTTTAATTTTATTTCCGATGCTGCTATATCCACCATACACTGGAGCTAGACAGATGTGTTTTTTTTTTTCCTTTTCTTTCTATGAAAGAAATTATTTTAGTCATAGCTTGTGAGTTTTAAACAATGGGGAAGTAAAAGACAAAAAAAAAAAAAAAAACAACCAGAAACAACCAAATGCTGTGAATCGTGCTGGATTTCTGGTGGTAGGTTGGCAAGGGACAGGGGTTGGATTGGCAGTGGCCTCTGGGACAGGAACACCCATTGGCCATGGGAGGAGGTGTTTGGCATGCACCTTGGGGACTTCTTCGTGGTCTCTAAAGAATGGCATTACAGGTGAAGGAAGAGGAATGATCACACCAAGGAAAGGAGGACACAGCCAGTGGTGCTGAGGTCTAGACCTGGCAGAAGGCTCTGGTAGGGGTACAGAGAAGGAGAAGGAGGCCTGCCTGCTGCAGGGGCCATGCAATGCAGTGAGCAGGACCCAGTGCAGCCCCAGTGGGCAGGGGCCCTGCAAAAGTCAGTGGTGCAGGGGAACATCCATTAAGTCAGCCACAAGCCACTTCCCCAAACATCCATGATGTGCTTCACTCAGCTGACATTTCAGTGCTGCCTATAGGGCCACCCCTCTGTATTTGGAGGCATGGCCCATGTGTGGGTCCCCATTGTGGGAACCCAGCCTGTCTGGGAGACAAGAAACAACCCCTCAACCAAAGGCTTGCCCGGCAGAGGCCTAGAAGTCACCCATGTCCACCCTCACTGGGTCTACATGGGACAGTGCTGGGTGTGGCCTCTGGAAGCAGAGGCTACAGGAGCCAAGGTAAGGGACCCTTCCCCAGGCCACACTTTTGCTTCGCCAAGCCCGGCACAAGGTACCTGCACCTCTCTCTGCCCTTTCATAGCTCCTGCCACCACCTCTGAGCCCTGCTCTGATAGCCAGCCTCAGAGTGAAAGAGAGAGCCGAGGAAGAGGTGGGGGTGGGCATGCTCGGACAGGTGGAGGGTGAGGGACATGAAAAGGAAACAGAGAGCAGGAGGCCTAGCTCCTACCTTTCAAATCTCAGGCCCAGCATGGCCACTTTGCCTGGGCCATTTGCTGGAAGGAGCAGGAGAGTCCTGGACAGAGGTGTGCAAATGTAGGGTGGGCAGGGGGATCCACTCTGGACCAAAACCTGTGCTGGGAGAAAGGTCGGGGAGGGTGTGGGGAGCTGCCTGGTGAGTGGAGTGGACTTCCATCTGAGTGAAGGAGGCAAGAGAAAGCCTGGTGGTGGGAGGTCATGGTCCTGTTCATCAAGACAGGACCTGGGGAGACCCCCAGCCTGCCCCTCCATTCCTTACTGGCCACAGAGTCCTCGCTAGAGGTTCCAAGCCACTGAAGAGAGAGCTGGATGGGACCCAGTGGAGCAAAGGGACAGAGGACAGACCCAGGGCTCAAGGCTCCCAGCATCCCTCCCCTCACACTCAAAATTCTGCATCAGCAGCCAGGCCCTCACGGGCTGATACCCGCCACGTCCTGCCCCAAGCTCTCAACCTCAGGGCAGCTGCTCCCCCACCAGGCCCACTCCAGGCTGGATCACCCACTGCCATAGCTGACCATCAGAGATTCTCAGCCAGGACTCCAAGGGGTCAGCTGGGGCCAGATGGGCTGCGGGCAGATGCTCTGTACAGAAAGAACTGGTGATTGAGTGCACAGGGCAGCAGCCGAGGCTGGAGCACAAGTGGCAATCTCCCATGGCAATCCCATGGGGGTTGAGTCATCAGCTGGACTCCTGCAGCCCACCAGGCCATGCTGGACAACAGAGCCCAACAGACACTCTACACAGAGGTCAGGCCCTGGAGGTGAGGGCGACAGGTGCTTTATTGAGCTACCCACACAGGCGTGTCCAGTCTATAGTGCAGACAGCACAGATGTGCAGTACCTGAGCCAGAAGCTAAGCAGGAGCCACCCTAATTAGCACCTGCTGGGAACCAAGGGCCGGGGGCTCCTCAGATGAAAGGGCCAGAGAGCCAGGTTGGGCAGGGGTGGGGCTGGCCTGTGAGGGAAGATAAGCCAGTTCCACACCGGGGGTCCATGCAGAGGTGAGTTCTGCCTGTCCAGGCCCCCACACCTGTGAGTCACAGGACTACAAACTCCAAGCACCCAGGCTCTGTCTGGCTAGGGCACAGAGAAAGGATGGCACTGGCCTGAGGACACACAGAATGTCTCAGGATCCCACTCTGACCTCTGAATGCTGGGACCTGAGGCTCTCCCCACCCCTACAGGCTAGGGAGCAGAACTACTGTGGAGACGCTCTCAGCTCTCTATAAGGTGAGGCAGCGGGCTGGCGCTGACCTAGGGTGCGTGCCTCCATCCCTACCGCCATGGTTCCAGGGTGTAGAGAGGCAGAACTCCACCAGAAGATGTCCAGGATGGGGTACCCACGCCCATCAGGCCACAGTACAGGCCCCGAGGGGGCTGGTAAGAGCCTGGGTGAGTGAGAAGGTGAAACCCTCAACTCTCTGCTGGCCAAGAGCAAGCCCCACCCCTCTCTGGACCTCAGTTTCCCACCAGTACAAGAGGAATTGGGTTGAGGGGGATCTCTCCAAGGCCTCTTTGCTTCTCTCTTTTGTTGATGTGGGTTGTTCCATCTGGAGCCCCCTCTGGAGGCTGGCTGGCTCCCCCCTCACCTGTCGAGATATCCATGTCCCCATGAACCCTGGCCCAGCCCCCATCTGGCCCCTTGTTCCCCACTCAGAGGGAGGGCAGAGCAGGGCAGCCTGGCCGCCTCAGAAGCTGCCTCTCCAGGGAGTTTACAGCTCCTCCCGCCCGCCCTGGGAGGGAGGAAATGGGCCTGGTGGGCCTGTTCACAGGTAGTTGAGACAGGAGAGGAATAACCATATTAAAGGCCTCTCCCAACCCAGGGCCCCCTTGGCCCTGCCCCTGTAAATCTCACACTCCCACAGCAGCAGCTTTGAAGTTCCGCAGGGGTGTGTTCAGTCCCTCCTCTGGCCCCCACTTTCTGAGTCCTGGAGCCTCAGTTTCCTCCCTTTAAGGACACACCAATGCCCTACTGCCCCAAGGCTGGGAATACAGGGCAGCAGACAGAGGACTAAAAATCCTATCCCCTGTCCCTGCCCCAAATGGTGACACGTCTAGTCTTGGGGACATGGCCATGCCCTGGGTTTTGGGGGACACAGCCTGAACCTGGGCCTGGTCTGGAGGACATAGCCGATCCTGGAGTCTGGCCTAATGGCCTGGGATGGCTACACTCTCTTGGCCGCCTATAGCAGTCTCCCTGGCCTAGGCTTCCCCACACCTCCAACCCTCCTATCTGCTGTCCATTTCCCTGTTGGAACCCCATCTCCTTTCATGAAACCCTTTGGTTGGGATGCCCAAAGTTAGGGCATTCTGAGGTCTCAGCCTGGCGGTCAGCAGCCGAGCCCCTTGGCCTCCCAGTTTGAGCGGGAACTGGACACCTGACCTACCCACACTGCCTACCAGCCCTGCATAGCTGGGCACTGCTTGGAGCCCAGCCTCAGTCTAGATGGTGCATGACCTCCCAGGGTGACATCTAATGCTCAGGGGAACAGGATGACATCTCTCCTGTCCCACTAGGTGGGGGTACTGCCAGCCTTCCTGTTTATAGGCACCCACAGATAAACTGAAGTCTGCTGGATGAGGCCACTCTTCCGAGTGTGAGATAATGAAGGTAAGGCCATCCCTGTTTCCTCCCTCCCTGTCCCACCATCAAGTGGGGGATCGGGGAGCAGCTAACAGAGACACTCCCACTGGCCCACCCCTCACCCTACCAGGTGACCTTGATCTTGGAGAGTTGAGCAATGGCCCCTTTACCACCTACTGGGTCACTTGG